TCACAAACTGAGGCCACCATATGTATCCACAAGAAAAGCTAGAGAGCAAATCAGAGTTCTCAAGTGTTTATGAAGGGCCTAGAGGCCATGCTCTTATTTCAAATTTAAGTTCAGAACCAAGACATATTCATTGCTATAGTTTGAACCAGTCTCCCTAAGTTTGTGTGTTGTTTTTCTGTTGGCTTAGTGGCCACACCTGAATCTACTGATACTTTTAACTATGATCAGCAGCCAAGGCCCTGCAGTCAGCACCCTGTAGCTCAAACCACAGCCTAGCAGGATTTCTGGTCCTGCTGGCACCTGCTGGGCAGCCGCCAAATGTAAGTTTTAACTGAGTCTCTATCGTTCTATTTACCAATAAAGACTCAGGAGTCAGATGTTGGGGTGAAAACCTGCTAGATCAGAGGAGCTGAGAAGCAACCAGCTGGCCTTCCATTTTGGCCAGAGACCCAGCAAGAGAAGCATCTCTCTAGCTGTCCCGAACCAAAAAAGACCTTGAATCTCTAAGTCCCTCCCTACCTCTTCCTGTGTGCCTCTCTATCAGTATGCCTGGCTCCTCTGTCCTCTCTATGACTAATTCCTGTCAACTAGTCACTAACTCCACCCTGTGATCCAAGGTTAATTTTATTAACACAGTCTCGGAGTTTCACAATGTGATCAAATTATCCCACAGCATTCATGTGTTTGATCCTCAAAATCTGTTTTTGATGGTGTTTGGAAGGAAGATGGTTGGGTTAGTCCATTTATAAAAGTCTTTGCTATGGGGGTACTCTGGTTCTGATATCCTAGCTCTGCTCATCATTTGATGCCTTTGACCATGCCATGATGCACCAGAGGCTAAGCAGAGGACAACACAATGCTTTTGGACTTCCCAGCCTCCAGAATCATGAACCAAATATACCTGTCTTCTTTATAATCCATCCATTGTGTAATGTTCAGTTATAGCAAGAAGAGGACCCTAAGAAAGACACAGGGATCGCCCAACAACAGAGAAATGGATGAGATCTACATGAGCAAACTGGACGTGGGGGGGAGGTAATGAAGGGCAAGGGTCAGGGGAAAGAGAGCTTAAGGGAGCGGGAGATCCCAGCTGGATCAAGAACAGAGGGGAGAACAAGGAAAGAGAGACCATGATAAATGAAGACCCCATGGGAATAGAAAGAAGCAAAGTGCTAGAGAGGTCCCCAGAAATACACAAAGATACCTCCACAATTGACTTCTGGCAATGGTTGAGAGAAAGCCCCAACTGACCTACTCTGGTGATCAGATGGCCAAACACCCTAACTGTTGTGCTAGAAACCTCATTCAATGACTGAGGGAACCAGATGCAGAGATCCACGGCCAGGCCCCAGGTGGAGCTCCAGGAGTCCAATCGGCGAGAAAGAGGAAGGATTGTATGAGCGAGAATTGTTGAGTCCATGATTGGAAAAAGCATAGGGACAAATAGCCAAACTAGTGGAAACACATTAACTATGAACCAATAGCTGAGGAACCCCCAACTGGATCAGGCCCTCTGGATAAGTGAGACAGTTGATTAGCTTGAACTGTTTGGGAGCCCCCCAGGCAGTGGAACTGGGACCTGACCTTAGTGCATGAGCTGGCTGTTTGGAACCTGGGGCCTATGCAGGAACACCTTGCTCAGCCTGGGTGAAAGGAAGAGGGGACTGGACTTGCCTCCACTGAATCTACCAGGCTGAGTTGAATCCCCAGGGCAGTCCTTGCCCTGGAGGAGATGGGAATGGGGGGTGGATTGGGGGAAGGTCAGGGAGGGCGGAAGGAGGGAGGACAGGGGAATCTGTGGATGACACATAAAATTAAATTAAATTTTAAAATTAAAAAAAAATTATAAAAAAAGAAGTGGACCAAGACACTAATAACCAATTTCAAAATTCACTGAAACACAGTTCTAGAGTCAAAGGTTTGCTTTGCTACCAAGATGGCCCATGCATGGGGCACAGGTTTCCTGACGTATCCAAGATGAGGTTACTTCTCCACTAGGGACAGGAAATAGGACCATAGTAGGGTCTTTTCTGCTCATCAGAGATTTCCTGAAGGCATAAGGAGGCAAACCCTGCATGTCCAGTTCTTTCTCCCAACACTTCCCAGTCTAGATAACTCATCCTGTTTCCTGCAGAGGCAGGAGAAAACAGGTATAAGAAGGAAAAGAATGTTAATTTAATGAAGGAGAATGTCATGAACAAGGGACCAGGGTATATGTGACAAGGCCCAGAGTCCTTGACTGAAGTTCTATTTCTACAACTCTGCTTCCCACTACTTTAACTTTGGACTACTCTCCATAGCCTAGAGCCAAATCACCCAGGAAATTTCCCTAGATTCCATGATGCACAGTTGTGGGGTAACTCATCCCTAACAGGCTTGAGGGCCAGCTGCCCAAACCAGTAATAAGATACTTTCTGAAAGCCAGCCTGGGTCTGCCTAAGGGCAGCTGAGACATGATCTGGAGATGACCTGAAACAAATAGAGGCAGTCATGTTACACCGGCAGATGCATATTTATCAGACCTTCCCCCAGGGTGGGGTCGAGGGTATATAAAGCTTTCCTCTTCCTGAATCAACTGAAATTGTTGCTTCAACATTCTCCCAGATTCTGTGTCATTGACTCTGTGCCTACTTGGCCCCTTCCCACAAAGGGAGCACAGGACCCTGCCACATACAGTGGCACCATATACTATTGAATAAACAAAAGCTCAACCAGTGCCATCACTACACACACACAGGTAAGCCAGTGGAAGAGAAGTTCAGATGGCAAGCAAGGTCAACCACACTTAGTGGGAGATGGATGTAACACGAATCTTAAAAGGTCTTATTAATAAGAACAAACCTGAGCTAGGTGTTGGGGTGAATGCTGGAAGATCAGAGAAGCAGAACAAGCCACAGCCACCTCACCTTGCCAATTCCTCAACTGATCCTGTTTCCTCAGACTGGAAGCTTCTGAGTCCTCATCCAAATGGATCTCAGCTGAACTGCTGCTCAAAAGCCTAAAAGTTTAACCACCTCTAGTTCCTGGTCCTCATGCCTTATATACCTTTCTGCTTTCTGCCTTCACTTCCTGGGATTAAAGGCATGAGTCACCATGCCTGACTGTTTCCAGTGAGGCTTTGAACTCACAGAGATCCAAATGGATGTCTGCCTCCCAAGTGATAGAATTAAAGGTGTAAGTGCACCATTTTCTGGCCTCTATGTCTGTCTAGTGGCTATTCTGTTCTCTGACCCCAAATAAGTTTATTAGTGTTCACAGTATATTGGGGAACACAATATCACCACAGATGGAGGCAGGAGAAGGCTCATTCTTACATCACTGTAGTGGGTACCTGTTCCACCTATGACCTTGAGATACCAGCCCCTAGGGTAGTTTAAGACCTGAGGGGCATGTATGCATGCCCCTTCTCTTCTTTCCCTTGTGGGCTTGGATGGTAGGGACTGACTCAGGCAGCAGAAGCAGCATGGGACCAGCCATCAGCCTTCCAGGACTGTGCAACTGATTTGCCTTATCCTGTTTAATGAGTTGGTCCCCTCAATATAATTTCTTAATAAATAGTTCCTTCATCAGTATCTATGGATTATTAGCAATACATCACAATGCTTATTATTCAAGTGTGATGAAAGTATAAAAGCATAGCCCACTCTTCATGATAACTAAGTGCATTTCCTGCCCCCTTGACAAACATGGTGTGGTGGGATGGGTCCTAATCCCCAGGATGGGCCCATGATGCATGTCTTCCCTCCTTCTTTAGTATCATACTGAGTGGGTGAGTCTACACCCTGGGGATGACTGCCAGTATCCACACATGTCCCTAAAGATGCAGTCACTGATATGTTCATACAGAGCAAGGGCATCATGGGTGTTGGGCTTTGAAGGATTGTCCTTTAACCCAAGGAGAATATAATTGCATTAGACTGGGATTACAGGAAACAAACATTGAGGCCAAGATCTGAGGGCAATAGGCTTATTTGGGAGGGGTATCAGCATAGGCCAGTGATGAGATAGAGATGAGATGAAGTAGAGAGGCAGGCTACACAGGATGTGAGAGCAGGTCAGATGACAGCACAGGTATAGAGAACCTGTGAGAAGCCTGAACAGAACACCTACCTCCAAATTAGACCACCACCAATGGTCAGATATGGTTTATTTATATTTTCATCCTCCCCTCCTCCATCTTTCCTTTCTCTACCCCTCTAACTCAGTCCCTTGCTCTCTGTCTCTTCTTCCCTTGTCTCTCTCTCTGGTCCATTGGTCTACTTCCATTCCTCCCCATCCAATGTTTCTTTCCTCTATCCTTTAATCCCTCTAGCTCTTCTTCCTCAGTCCTTCCCCCACTCCATCCCTCCCACCTCATCACCTCTTTCCATTATCTTTTCTGTCACATCTTCTAGCTCTTTGTTCAAAGACCCCTTCTCAGTGAGACTCCTGAGACATCTCTATGAAATCCATCCCCTCATATACTCTCATGTCAGAAACTGCCACCATCTAGCACCTTACACTTTTTTTTCCTCTTTATCTTGTTTGCATGTTTCTCCTTCACTGGAATGAGATTTTTCAGGAATGAGTATTTTTGTTTCTCTCACCACTTTACCTCCTTAAAAATGCTTTGGACATCAGAGCTTCTGGAGACACATTTGTTGAATTAATTGACAATTTGATATAATTGAAAGAGAATACCTAAGTGGTCTGGGGTGGCTTATTCATGCCCCTGAGCTAAGGGAGGGCCTGGTCTCACCAAACCAACCCAGAGGAGAAAACATAATGCCTAAAAGGGAAGTCAGGGTGCAGACAGAATGGAATGTAGGTGCTGCCCACACACTGCAAATGCACAGAGCAGTGCAACGGTAACAGTTCTGTTTTGATTCTTTATTTTCTGCTTCTCTGACTACACCAGTGGCCTTATACCAGGCCAGGTGTACTGAAAGCCATCATTATGCACTGTGACAAAATACCTGAGATAATCAACTTATGAGGAAGAAATGTTTGTTTTAACTCACAGTTTTAGAGGTTTCAGTTCATGGTCAGTGAGCACACTACTTTGGGTCTGTTCAGAAGCAGAAGCTCATGGTGGTGACCTCATGCTAAAGCTGCTCACCTCATAGTAGCCTGGAAATAGAGAGAAGATACCAGAGACTCAATATGCCTTTCAAGAACTTGCTCCCAATGGACTAACTTGCTTATACTTGGCCCTACCTTCTAATAGCTCCCCAGAATGGCAGTGAGCTTTTATTTGTTTGCTGTTTGGGGGGATGGGGGTACATGCCATGGCATACTGATGGAGATAAAAGGACCACTTGCAAGAGTTGGTTCTTTCCTTCTACCATGTGGGTTTGAGATTAGACTCAAGTTCTCGGGATCTATTGTAAATGTAGGCTGAGTTTTTTGTAGGTGTCAAGATCAGCTCTGTCCTATCAGCTGCTTCCCAAATAGCCATTCAGAGATTATAAATTATAATTATAATTATAAATTATATATATATTATAATTATAAATGCTTGTCTCCAGCCAGCTCTTGCAACTTAAATTAATATGTTTCTATTAATCTATGTGTTGCCCCAAGGCTCGTTTACCTCATTTGTGAGCTTCCCATGTTGCTTCTTCTGCATCTGGCTCAAGACTCCCCAGACTCTTTCCTTCTTCTTCTCAGCATTTTCTCTGCCCCCAAAAATTCTGCCTAACTATCAGCCAATCAGGTTTTTATTAACAATAAGAGCAACACATTTTCACAATGTACAAAAGGATTATTCCACAGCAGGAAAGTACTTTTATCCACTAAGTCATCTCACCAGCCCAGCACAATGGTCTTTGGGGGACATTCTATACCCAAATTCTCCACCCAGCACTGCCTCCTTAATGTAGATTAATACATTAATACAATGCTGCAGAATAATCCTTTTCTACAGTATTAATATGTATTTCTCTCATTGGTTAATAAAAAGCTGACAGGCTGGTAGCTGGGCAGGAAGTTAGGTAAGAAAACCAAAGTGAGAATGATGGGAAGAAGGAGGACAGAATCAAGAGAGATACCAGTCAGCTGCCCAGGAAGTAAGACATGCTAGAGGACAGGTAAAGCCACAAGCAATGTGGTAATACATAGATTAATAGAAATGGATTCATTTAAATATAAGAGTTAGCTAGTAACAAGCCTGAGCTATTGACCAATCATTTATAAATAATATTAAGTCTCTTTAATATTATTTAATAAATAATATTAAATTTGGAAGCAGCTACTGGACTGGGGAACAGGCAGTCAGGATGGGAAAACTCCACTTACACTGTGACATGCCTTCTCTGGAAAGCAATGCCACACAGTGCCTGCAAGATTGTCTGCAAACATCAGCCAGTGCTGCATGTGGAATGATCCCTGCAATGAACACAGAACTCCAGGCAGTCTCTGCATTAGAAAGTACAACCCAGGCTTTGTTTACCACTGTGTTTAAAGATTTCTAATTTCCCACAATCTTTAAATAGCATACATTCTTTGACTGCAATAAATGGAGAGTACGTGTTTTATTATTTTTCTGTAACCACATGTATTCAGCAATTAGAGATACCAGTGCTGCCAACTGACTTGGAAGACAAATATCAATGGCTGGGTAATGCTGTGCTTGTGGTTGTTTTATTAAACAGAGACCCAGAGCACAATGGCTTCATTCCAAATCTTCATTCCCAGAGTAGTCCAGTTAACTAGAAGATAGAAAAAAAAAACACTTTCCCCCTCTTATTTGAGTAGACTCTGTTCCATAATTCCAAGAGATCAGCCATCTGTTTTCAAATCATCCAATAACAATGGGTCCTTCCCAGCACTGGCCCTGTGGGTACTGTCCACACCCCTACAATGACCACAGCTTCTGACAGTCCTCAGCCTTCTCTCTCAGGAGTGGTGACCCTTCCTACAGCTGTCCTCCTGTCTTAGAGCCAGAACTCCCTTCCTGGTTGTTGACCAGAATTGGAGGGTAAATGGTTCAATCTCTGACTTTTCAGCTCAGAGCCTATTCCATGGACTAGTAGATTGTTCGTTGCTGAGCCCCAGTGATTCAAGTCTTAGTTGAACCCCTCACTTCCAGTCCCAGCACCTCTTGAGATCACCTCCCTGACACACTATCACATCCAGACCTGTCTCCCTTGTTGTCTCCCAGCCACTGTACAATTTACCAAAAATTGGACAGTGACTGGGAGACAAAAAGGATAGAGCCTTTTTATCCTGCAGCTCACATGTTACCTGACCAAATAAGAAGGAAGCTCCCAGTAGAGATGGAGGATGAGGAACATTCAGGGATGGGGAGTGATCCCTACAGGGCAGAAGCAAATCCTTCTACCAGAAACAAGGAGGAAGCTGTCTTTTACACAGTATCTTCAGACTCTCCAGGCAGCTTCATGACCTGCTCTGCCCCTGTCTAGGAGTCTGCTCATATTGACTGGTAGACATGGGTCAGCCTTAATGAGAGCCATAAAATCATGCTCCTCTTTCCAGACATTCAACAGCCTACTGGGGATGGGATCACCAATGGGCAAGCCTTGCATGGGGCAAACTGGTAGGCAGGGCAACCCAGGCCTGCTGTGAGGGTGCTCAGCGCTGAGAAGACACAAATATCTCTCTCCCTCCTCCCCTTTATCTCTCTCTTTATCTCCCTTTCCCTCTCCCCTTCCCTCTCTATCTCTGAGGCAAATTTAGGCAGTCAGTATAGCCTGATGGATACTTTGACTACTGAGAGAAAAATTTTCATCTTCTTGTTTTAAATTGTACATTTTAAATTCTAAGAGACACTGATCAAGCTTCCTTTAAGTGAATGTATTGACCGATTTCGTTTATATTTCCATGAACATTTCCTTTTTCATACGGGTTTGTAAACATTGTCCTTTTTGACAATGAGAGCTGTTCTTAAAATCTGTGTCTCTGAAGCACATAAGCTCCTTGTCACTTGGGCTACAAACATTTCCTTCATCTCACAGTTTGCTTTTCCTGGTGATATTTTTCCCTTGATTTATTTTAATTTTCAGACAAATACAGAATATCACCCTTTTTCATCAAGCTTCTAAATCTGTATTCTAATAGAAAGCCTTCCCCCTCACAATGGTCGATGAATTCGCCTCTCCTCCTCAGAATCTTGGATTTCCCTTTCATTTGGTCTCAGCTGCATTTAGAATCATCTGGGGTGCTGGAGCAGTGGATCAGGGGTCAGTACTTCTCCCAATAGGCAAATGTCTCTAAACAGTAATTCCTCTTTGACCTTTTGACTTGAAATGCCATCTGTCACATAGACAAATTGTGAATATTTGTTAGGTGTTTTGGAGCCCTGTCTGCTCCCCGAAAACTCTCAGCATCAATAAAGTCCAGCTATTGGACTTTCATAGCACATCTTATACTTAATAGGGCCATTTTCTCCTTATTATTCTCCTTTCTATGGAGGTCCCTGTCCATTCCCCACACATAATATCAGTATTTGAATGGGGGTTGCACTGAACTAGTGGATATTTAGAGTCAATGTCAGTTCTGCAGCAATGATTCATTATCACTGATGAGACATTTGTTTGACTTATTCACTTACATTTTCACGTCAGACAATATAACGTCATCTGATTATAACAGAATTCTCAAGTTTTTAATAAATTCTCAAGTTCACATAAATCTTACATATTTTTTTAAAAGTTAGGGCCAGTGAGATGTTGCTGTGGGCCACAGGAATATATTATAAGAACTCAGCTGGTTATAGCAAAGTCACTACCTGGAGGAATCAGGGAATTCCTCCAGAGGAAGCCAAATCCCAAGGAGTTTTTGGTGTTACTTGGCTTGTTATATATCAGCTGTATTCGGTTATGAAAGTCACGTGTGCCTTCATATTTTTCCCAATTGACTTTTCCCTAAGAAGGGCTAACAGTGTGGACTCTCTGAACATACACATCCAGGTATTTGGAGAACAGCCTCAGGAAAGGCTTTCTCTGGAATCAGTTATCTCCCTTGGCCACTTTCAAGGACTAGCAGTAATAACAGTCCACATGCAAGTCTCCTGATTTAAGGTAAATTCCACAAGGAGACACCACCTAGGTAAGGTGGACGTTAAGTAATAGCTTTACACAATTCAGCTCAGACCCTCCTTTCTTACAGCCTTACTAACTTTGCAGACCGCTAACTCCTTACCTAACCACTTCTAGGAATATTTAGATAACCTTCTGCGCTGACAGCTATGCTCAGCCAGAACCCCAGTTCAAGCCTCCCTGTAATTATCATCATTGGCAGCATCCGGCCAGGTCCATCCCCAGATGGAGGAAAGTACCTTATCAGAGATACCTCTGTACTCTCTAAGAACAGACTTACGCATCCAGGCTACCCATTTGAGAAGGCCTGGTGGATATGCCAATTAAGCTTTACTTCCTCCTTTCCCAGACCTTACCTCTGGTTCCAGATCTCCCTTTAACTATCACCAGAGGCATCTAGGTGTACACAGGTTGCCTAGAAACTGAGCACACTTTCCCCCACCCTGCATAAAAACGGCAGATAGCTTGGACAGATAGGAGCCACAGGAAAAAAAGACGACAGTTTTATTTTCTCCCATTGACCTAGCAACTTATAGATTCTGAACATTTTCTACTAATCACGTTTAAGACTATAGTTGAGCACATAAGATTCCCTCTTCTTAGATATTACCCGAATTTAGCCTTTAGTTAATTCATTTCCCCATTGGTCACTTCCCTTTGGGGTTGCAAATGATAATTAACGGTTATTGGCTCCCTATGTGATTCTTATCACCCCTCCATTTGACCCTGGAAGCCTGGCTTTATATACCAGGACTTCCAGGGCACTGGGGATCGGAGAAGAGAAAAGAGAATGGAAGAACTAGACGGGTAAGAACTTGAGAGGAACAAACTGAGATGGGGAAGAACTAGATTGAAGGGCTAGAAGAGAGTACTAGAGGAATGAGATGGATGAGGAAGAGCCAGATGAGGAAGTACTAGATGGGGAAGAACTAGTTGAGGAAGAACGAGATGAGGAGAGAGAAGGAGATGGGAGAAAAGATGATATGGGAGGGAACAAGATGGATGAGAACCTAGAAGGGGCAGAACTAGATGAAGGAATTAAGATAGAACCTAGAGGGGACCACAGACAAG